GGTGGACCAGGGCTTGTTGAGGCGGCCGGGGGTGGCTGTTTCCGGGGACCTCGCCTTGGCCCTCCCTGCCGGACTAGCTGGAGGCCAGTCATCTCAGGCCACCCGTTGTTGCCGCCTTCCTCTCCGGGATGCCGCTCTGTGATGGGACACGGCCCCCCTGGCTGGGCGGCAGAGGGCTCAGGAAGGGGGCGGTGGGGAAGGCGGCCACCAGGCACCGGAGGTGAGGCTGACCTCTCTTGCCCAGGGGGCTGACTGAGTAGCCTGCTCACACGTTACAGCTGTGTCGGGAAGACCCAGCACCGTCACTTCTGTACCAGTGAAGACAGGGCCTAGTACCTGGACGCACGCGGGACTGAAATCACACGTTGCGCTGGACGTGCGTCGGACTGAGCATGAAAATGGCCGCGCGCCATGTAGAAAGGAAGCTCAGGCGTACGCTGTGCGTGGATTGCAGCCTGGGCATCCACTGTCACTTGCCCAGCGGGCTCCTGCAAGGCTGCTTCTTGTGTTTGTGCCTCGGAGGGAAGCCTTGGCCCTCCCCTCCCCAGTAAGGGATTGGCAAGAGGGTGTTTCTGCTGTGGATGTCGCCATGGCGCAGGCCCATAGGCGGGATTTTAAAAATATTATTCTGGGGACCTTTACATAAGTCGGGGGGCACCGTGGAACACCCCCCCCCCCAAGCAAGCAGCCCTGCGCCTGCCCTTCCCTGCAGCCAGCCAGGTGTCAGGGGGCCTGGGCAGTGAGTTGGGGGGGGGAAGGCCCCGAGTGGCCCCACGGTAGCTATGGGCCTGCCATGGCGCACCCATGAGCACAGGGGCTGGGGGCCACGCTCCCTTTGGAGCTGCACAGTGCTGCTGGCCCGGGGGTGTGGGGGAGGGAAACGCCCTGTAGAAGAAGAAGAAGAGATTGGATTTATACTCCCGCCCTTCACTACCCTGAGTCTCAGAGTGGCTTACAAACTCCTTTCCCCTCCCCACAACAGACACCCTGGGAGCAGTGTTCCCTCTAAGCTGAGTTGGTGTGAGCTAGCTCACAGTTTTTTAGCCTCTCGCTCACACATTTTTGTCTTAGCTCAGGAAGGAGGGCTCCAGAGCAAACTAATTTATGCAGCAGCCAAATTGCTCGCTCACAACTTCAATGCCAGTAGCTCAGAAAGTAGAATTTTTGCTGACAGGACTCCACAGCTTAGAGGGAGCATTGCCTGGGAGGTGGGTGGGGGCTGAGAGAGCTCTTTCGAGGACTGCTCTTGACGGAACAGCTCTCAGAGAACTTGTGACTGACCCAAGGTCACCACAGCAGCTGCAAGTACAGGAGTGGAGAATCAAACCCGGTTCTCCCAGATCAGTGTCCACACTCCTAACCACGACACCAAACTGGCACTTGCATGTGCTTGCATGTGCCTCGGCAGGGCCTGTCCAGAGCCAGCGCAGTTTATTTTGATGCAAGATTAACTTGACATCCACCCCCCCCCCCGAGTCTGACTGTCGACTTTCCTTGTCCCCAGGTGCCGTGCGGGTGCCTTCTGCTGAGAGGCTCCGGCCGTTTCCACCCCTCCTCCTGCACCCGTGACCTCCTGCCCCATGCTGCCTCGGACTGACTGGGGCCTTGCCAGACGGAGCAAGGGCCCCCTCTGAGCTTCCCCGGGCCGCCTCCTCCTCCTCCTCCCCCCCCCCCCACCTCCCGGCTTTCATGGATCTGAGGCCGCCTCTGCTGCTCTTGCTGTGGACTTTTGTGCTGGCTCTGGATCTCCTGGTCAGGGGCGTGGTGGGCCAGCACCTCTACACCAACACCTGGGCGCTGCGGGTGCCTGCGGGGCCCGAGGAAGTGGAGAGGCTGGCCCGAAAGCATGGCTTTGTGAACTTTGGCCAGGTGAGTGCCGCTTCTCCGGGACTGCCGGGGCTGGGTGTGGGGGGAGAACCTCCTAGGTGGGCAGTGGACCATGGGGGAGGGGCTGCCTTCCGGAGCAGGACTGGGCGGGGGGGGGGGTTGGCTGCAGGTAGAGAATTCTGGAATTCTTCAAGCCCTGCGAGGAAAGGCTCTGGGGCCTGGGAGTGTCCAGTCTGGAGAAGAGGAGGTGGAGGAGGAGGGGACAGGATTGCGCTCGCTCTCTCTCTCTCTCTCTTGAAGTATTTGAAAGGCTGTCAGGTGGAGGAGGAGGAGGGCATTGAGCTGTCCCTGTGGGCAGCCGCAGAGGACAGGACTTGCAGTAACAGGCTTAAGTTACCCGTGCAAAGGGTTCGGGTGGAAAAAATTGTTTTTACAGTCGGCTGCTGAGGGAGGTGTGAGAGCTCCCCCCCCCACACACACACATGCCAAACTGGCAGTCTTCAGGCAGCGGCTGGGTGCTCTCGGCCGATCCTGCGCTGAGCAGGAGTTTGGACTGGATGGCCCGTTTGGCCCCTTCCAGCTCTAGTTCTATGAAACTGTCTTCCTCTTACAAATAAGGAAGCTTTAAATATGTATGCCTGTATAATTTACTTCTTTTTTGGTCTGGAGATGCATGGCTTTTCTTTAAAAAAAGGTCCAGTCAGACAGCCGGGGGCCTCCGATAAACAGGACCTCAGGCCAAGGCTTCGCTTGCCACAGTCTCTTTCCGGGGGGGGGGGGGGGGCTCCG